GATTGGTTAAATGATTCATAACATTGTTACAATTTGTGTGATTGATTAGTACATTGGTTTATTTAATCAATTTATTTCATTTGGAGCTTTGCGACATTCAAAATTCGCGACACTCTCGACTGGAGGAATTACGGACTTCAGGTTTTCATTATAGAATTTGACTTCCTTCGTATTTTTGTTGTTCTTTGCTGTTCTTGTAGCACTTCTAGTTCCTCGTGCAATGGGTTCATCCTGTTCAGTGCTTTACTTTGATTGATTTATAGAGTTCTCCGACATTACTGTTTGATCCTTTGTTTCTTCTTTCTGTTTAATTTCCAGTGGGTATAACATATTTATAGGTCGATTCATTAATCTTCCTCGTAGTAACTCTATTAAAGCATTTCTTATCTTATTATCCTGCCCTTTGTTGAGTTTTCTTATTTTTGCTAGTTCTCATGTACCGCGAGGAGCATTTGATTCATTTACCAATGCAATTTCTCCTTCAATAGGAGCTCTAATCTCTACGCTTCTCGGAGATTTATGTTCTACTTGTGTACGTTTTCTCAAGCTAGTTAAGTACTCCTCCTTCCATATTTCCCAAAATGTATCCAGTGTTATTGTTGTACTTGCCCAGTATTTAATAAGTTTCTCATGGGTGCTTAACTTGTGAGGGATATAATCATCCTGAACATCAGTATTACTAGTAGGTATCATTAAACATACGTCTGGTACGATAAAGTCTATAGGTCTTAGAATTATGGAATCATCAAAATTTGCGTAAATCAGTGGGCGAATATTAAGTATGCTTTCTACGTTATAAATTCTTTTTCCTTTAGTAATTTCTTTCCAATAACCTTTCTTAATGTCCCTTTCGTTATACCAATTATCCGTTCATAAACTCCTCTGCTCCAGGACGCCTTCGGAATTATATTTCTCCATTTCATTCCATATCTAGCCAAGAATTCGGTCAGTTGTGTTTCTTGTTCCATTAAAGTTTGAAAAACTAGTTGAAATTGACTCGCATTATCACTTGAAATTATATCTGGATAGTCACGTCGTGCAACAAATCTTCAGAAGACATTCAAGAAACTTTCTGCCAATAAACTATCTGCTAATTCCAGATGCACTGCTCTAGTAGTAAAACATGTAAATAAAGCAACCCATCTTTTTGTAACTCCTGTTTCTGTTTTGATAGAAACGAAACCTAAATAATCCAATCCAACACTTGCGAATGCTCGTGTTCGTCATGCTCGAGTTGCTGAATAATTAGGCATGGTTGGTAGTTTAAATGGTTTTGCCTTCTATCGTTTACATCCCATTTATTCAAAACTCTTTTAGCTTCTGTTCTTCCTTTGGGTATCCAAAACCTTTTTCTTAAACTTGATATCGTATGAGCTGTTCCAGCATGAAACATTTCTTCGTGTTGTTGTTGAATAAAGATTTCGGTTATACAATTATATCTAGGAAGATATATGGGATGCAAACTTTGTTTGTCCAATTCTGCATATTCTAGACGACTTTTTGATTTCCGTACTCCTTTTTCATAGTATAGATTCCATTTAATTATTCCTTCTTCCGTTATTCCTTCCGATTGGGCTTGTCTAATGAATACATATATGGCTAGTTCATAATCGTCGTTATTGAGTCGGTTCTTCCCTGATAATGTGTTTAACCAAGGAATTCTTTGCTTGGATATTAAATTTAAGAATTTCAAAGCCCATGCTGTTGTTCTTATCAACCTCGTCCATTTACTGAATCTTGTTAATAGTGATATGCGCGACGATCTTCTGATTTTGTTCCTCATTCTCGCTTTCATTGTAATCTTCATCAATATTGCTTTCCAAGTGTGACCAATCTGACTCTCCCATTTCTGGTCCTTTCACCATAGTTCAAATTCTGTGAGTTGAAGTGGCGATAGTCCTCTGGTAGCCACATCTGCTGGATTAAATTCATTTGGAATATAGCGAAATGAGAACTTTGCTTGTCGTATCTTTTCGACTCGATTTTAGACGAATTTTGGCAACAAACGAGAATGGTTATGTATCCAGTGTACACATTTGGAATCTGACCATAATGCGACTTTAATGTTCTCTAGTTCTATTTGTTTAATAACAAATTGAGCAGCCCGTACTCCTATGAGCACGGCTAATAATTCTAGTTTTGGAATAGTCATACCTTTGATGGGAGCAATTCGTGATTTGGCGAAAACCAAAGAAGCTTCATTTTCTTGAATAACGTATACTGAAACAGCATATGCCACTGGGGAAGCATCTGAGAAAACATAAATTTTTGTGGGTTCTGATGGATCCATCGCGACATGTGGTATTTCCTTCACATGGATTGGCCATGCGCATATGAGATTTTTCCATGTTTCCTGGTCTTCCATACTTATTAATTGGTCCCAACTTATTTTCTTCTTCTAAAGAGTTTGAAGAAATAATTTGATCGGTATTATGCTTGGAATTAGGAATCCTAGGGGGTCATATTGAGAAGCTAAGAACTGCAATATTGTTCTTTTTGTTGGTTTCTGATAGTTCCAAGGTTTTAAGGTTATTCGAATAATGTCCCTACCAGAGTTCCAATTAATACCAAGAATCTTTTTAAACTCACTTGTCTCTGCTCGATCCTGTTCTGGAATGTTGGAATTAAATTCTTTGTCGTTTAATAAGAATTCCCTAACATTCATTGAGGCATCGTTGAAAATGATTTTCATTTCTTGATATTTGAGAAGAGCTTCATCGGTTCCATTGATAGATACGACAATGTTGTCGACATAGAGGTTTTTCTTGATTTCATCTTCGATATTTTCTTCCACTGCTTGTCCGCGTATATCCTTTAACCAAAGAAATCGTGTGCAGTTTCTTTCTGATAGAAGTAGTTCCAATTGTAAAAAGGCCTTTTCAGTATCTGCTATTATCACAATTTCCATCATTCGGAAATGAAGGGAGAAGTACTCCTACTAAATCGGAAAGAATTATAGGTCTCCGATATAATACATCGTTCAATCCTTTTCTTCCCTTTTGATGCGATGATGCATCATAAACAATTCTAAGTTTGGTTGTAGCCTTATCTGGAGTTATAACTTCATGATGAGGAAGATAATGAATAATACCAACCTGGTCCATTTCTGGGCATACTTTCTCGATAAAGTTAGATTGTATTTGATCGCGAATCGTTTCATCGTATTTGAGAAGTAAACGTTCATTATTCTGAAGTCGTTTAATTAAAGATTTTAACCGACCAAAACAGAACCCGAAATTATCGTTTAACTTGATTCTTGTTTCTTTTCACGGCCAAGCAACTCGGTATCTGCCATTATTTTTGTTAATGTTCTCCTTGAACTAAAGTTTCTTTGAACTATTTTCCTTGAACTTTTCCTTTCTAAAGCTTGTTCGTCCTCATGCAAATTAGATTGCTCTTGTATTCCTATGGATTCCAACTTTCAGAATCGATCAATCTCTGGAATGTCCATATTACTAGGTGTAAGGGTGGTTTGACCCTTATTCTGAGCGGAACAACATTCCATATGTGTTACCATTTCGTGTGGGTCATAAACCATCTTGTTGAGGCTATTACCATGCTTGTGCATATATCCGCTTCCAGCAATAATTGGGCCGACTATTGTGTTGATTAAAGAAAACCCTGAACTTATAGTTTGGGTTTTTTTCTAACGGTATAAACTTGAAGAAGTGGTCGACTCCAATGATTAATTCAAGTTGTTTCCAACTGCTATTTTCTTTTTTTAACGGGAATTGAGCTGAAATTTCTGATACATCGCCTTGGTTTATAGATATTACTCTTAGCTTACTTGTTAAATAGTTGACTACTGTAGCTACTATAAGTCTGACATCTGCTTCAATAGTTTTTATTTCAATTCGCACTTTGGCTGCAATGGATTGTTGAGGTCTCCTGTTACCAAATGTTGCAAACTTCACTTGCTCGTGATCAATATCTTTTAGGTTTAATTTCTTTGGTAGTTTCTTTGATATACAATTTACTTCAGCACCACTATCGAATAAAACTACGACTTTATTTAAAGCCTCTTGTATATCCCAATTAATTACCTCAACCTCTTTGCAAAAAAGCAAACTTTCCCTGTCATTTCATCTCGAGTGTTCTATTACTGGGTTGATTACCATTGTCGAATTTGTCACTTCTTTGGTTTGTTCGACTGATTATGCTGGATCATTTTATTTAGTGTAGCATAACGCGGTATTATGATGACCTTTGGAATGGAAACACACACGTTTTTTCTCTTACAATCGATTGTTGCATGTCCTGGTTGAAGACAATTTAGACAGGTGTTGTTTTCTTTCAGTCATTGCATTCTTTATTCTAGACTAGGATAAGTTTGGTATTCATTGTCCCAATGATTCTTATTGCAAAAAACACAGAGTCTTTGAGTTTTACTAACCTTCTTCGTATTAGCTTTTGTATATGTTTGCGGAGTCGTTAGACCCGAAGTTTCTTCTGGAAAATACCATAAATTAATTGGTAGATTAATTTTATCTTTAGTTAATTTTTGCTCCTTCATAATGTCAAGATATTGGCTTCTCGTAACTTCTTCGTTTCTTTGAATCAGTTTGGCTAAGAATTGTCTTCGCGACTGACCATATTTCTTGTTCTTCCTTTTTTTTGATACACTCTGTCCAGAATCAAAGCGCGCAGTTTATTTTCAATGAAAAATGGTCAGTCGAATTGTTGGATTGTTCAAAGTTTTCATCCATTGCTTCAAGTTGTCTAAGTATTCTTTCGACGTCTTCGATTGTTACTTTCCATTCATGGTCATTCTTCTTGATGGAATGTAACTCATTGTAGAGCAATTTTTTGATGATGTGCGATTGTCCGAACTTCTCAATGAGGACCTTTGGTATAACATCATAATTTTCTGGATTTATGTTATAACCCTTTATGGCTAGCAAAGCATCTCCTTTGAGATATGCCATTAAATAATTTAATTTGTGGATAGCTGGTATGTTTTGAAAGTGAACTGCTGCTTCGAAGCTACTTCAGAATCCTCTTCACAGTTTCGGATTACCACTGAATGTAGGCAGTGGTAGTTGAGGTAAATTAACTGCTGGATAATAAGTTATTTGACTTGGTTCCTCCTTTATTTCGCCTTGTTTGATGCGTTGGAGTACTAATTCTGAGTTATTCATATACATAGTCAAGGTTATAATAATTTTCTCTACCTTCATTCATCAAATTTAAAATACCTTTTTTATCTTTGACCATTTGCTCGTATTTTTTCTCCTCCTGTTGTTGCTTTGATCTCGGAACCTGTTGAATGTATTGGATCCAATATAGATGGTTTCAAGTTGCCAATATGCAGCTTGAGACGCAATATTTTTTCTTCAGTAATTCTATTTCTGGCCTCCTGCTGCTGACGAGTTTCTTCTCCGGTCGTAAATTGGTTCAACGGCGTCAGATCCATTTCTTTGACTTCTTGGAGATTCTAAAGTTTTTCCTTTGCCGGTTGCACGCTTAGAATTATAGTTGCAGACATCCCGGTCTTGTGGCACCAAATTTGTAGGAAAAATTGAAATAAAAGTTTTTGGTTTGTCGGGTTTGATTTGAAAGGATTCACATTCTTAGGCACAGACAAATATTCTGAGAAGGTATTCTTCGTTCGATTCAGGAGGAAGTTATTAATTCGCAGAGGATAAATAGGTTGTAATGACACAGAGGATAGTAGTAAAAATATTTATCGAAGAGAGTAGAGGATAGATACAATGTACGGTGCAGTCTTTGGACATTAAACATTGCAATTAAGATTGATTCTTAGACAAAGAAATTTAGCTTATTAGTCCATAGAAAAAAAAGGAAAGGATGTGAACTTAGATAAAGATAACAATGAAAAACACATGAGACAATGAATTTGAGGAATGTAAGATTGGTTAAATGATTCATAACATTGTTACAATTTGTGTGATTGATTAGTACATTGGTTTATTTAATCAATTCATTTCATTTGGAGCTTTCGCGACAGCTTTTT